GATGCATCATCTGTCACTGTAGCTGTTCCAGTCTGCTTGTCATTTCTAGTGGGAATGTCTCACCTCATAAGGTTGTGGATGGGACTCAGGATTCCACCTAAGGTCCTATACTCTGTAAAGGCTTTGCACAAGGTGTATGTCACTGGGCAAGTTGTAGAACCCCTGTTTTTTTTTCTTTTTCTTTTTAACCCTTTCATTCCATTCATAGATAAGCCATTCAGTTAGCTTATATTTGAGTAAGTGACATCATCAAGAATGTGACGTATCTTCATACTCTTCTAAAATGAGTCCTTGGCTGCCGTAAGAAGTGCCCTGCTTCAGCTTGGAGGGTGTATTATCAGGCTGGTGGTTGGAAAGAAGGGTGGACTAGAGTTTTGCATTTCAGTAGCTTGGGGCCATCACAGAGGCAAGAGAAGGAAAAAATGGAAAATTTCCATCCCTCCTATTTTGTCTCAAGTCACCTTCTCATAAGGTGTAGTACTAAGGATTTCTGTTTGTTGACTTTCTCTCCAGCATTTTATTATGAAAAGTTCAAACACAAAGCAGTGTTGAATTTTGCAGTGAACGTCTGTATGCAATCAATTACCTATGGAGTCCTGGTGTGGTGCTATAGGATAAGAACTGGACCTCAAGGTTGGTTTGAATTACAAGGTCAGCAGTTCAAACTTACCAGCCACTCCTCAGAAACCTTATGTTGTTGTTGTTGTTAAGTGTGATTGAGTTGGCTCTGACTCGGTGATTCTGTATAGCGTTTCTGAGGAGCAGCTTGTGGGTTTGAACCAATGATCTTGTAGTTCGCAGTCCAGTGCTGATCCACAGTGCTACACTAGAAGCCCCAGAAATCTTATACAGGGTAGTTATGAGTTGGAACCGATTCAGTGGCACTTAACAAAAAAAGTTCTACTGTTAACATTTTACTTTATTAATTTTAAGCCCTGTTATCTGTTTCCCTATTCATCTTTTACTCCTTTCAAAGTTAAAGTGTACACTTGTCTTTAAATACTTCGACATTTACTATATTTCAGTATTGTTTTCCTATTTTTTCTTTTGATTTAAAATTTTTATACAGTGAGTTACACAAGTCTTAAGTTTACATATTGTATGGGCGTTTATTAAAAACCATACAGTTTTACAATGAAAAGAAAGGGATTGTCATACTTGGAGAGAATGAGCCCCACTGGAACCAAGCCTTGGTTTCCGTACCAGTAGTCAGCTGATTCCTATCTTCTATCCATCCCTCTTTGTTTCAGCTTGTAAATATAGATCAGGTTTTGAATTTTAAAATAAAAATCATAGCCTTGTGGGAACTAACATGTAAAGCCAGTAACTAGAAAATGTTACAAGGAGTTATTATTATGAATCAGGATTTCAGCTAAGAGATAATAGATTGTTAACCAAAGAGAGCAAATACTATTTTAAGACCTAATTTACTCAACTACAGAATGACCAGAAACCTGCTAGTTGAACAACTAGCTTGCTAGGTTTATACTAATTTATCTGGAGGATGGTAATTTAGCAATTGTGGGGAGGACCTTGGGACAGGACCAAGGGGGTCGGCAATGACTACAGATTTGAATATTCATTTATAGAGCATGAGTGACAGGCATCTCGTCTTTTTTGTTGATGTTGGTCCCCAGGTCAGATCATTTGAAGTCTTTAAGAATTTGGCTGTGTTTGTTTGAGCTGTATCATGGGTATTTAGTTTGGCTTAGCAGTCTTCCTCTTATCCTTACTTGTAACTTGGAGGGTGTAAAGCCAGGTGAGCTAGTTTCTCTCCAGGCTAATTTTTCACTCTGCTTTTCTTTGTTATAGAGGAATGATATCGCCATGGCAATTACAAAATTTGATCAGTTTGATTTTCTCATCGATATTGTTCCAAGAGATGAACTGAAACCTCCAAAGCGTCAGGTGAGCTGGGAAGATCTTGCTGTTGTGCTGACTGAAGAGCAATTGTTAACTGGGGTTAGGTGTGCTCCTTGTCCTCACGGCACCAGCCATTTGCTAATCCACTTGCTCCTCCTACCCTAGACCAGATTCACTCTTAACATCTCCTTCTGTTACTCATTTATGGATACTTTTAACTCAGTGCCTCTGAAGTGATAGTTCAGTGGAAATAGATAAAAGTTAAAGTTAAAAGGAAAAATTTAAATGAAAGTATAAAGCGTAAATAAAACTCACTTCAAGATATGCTAGAAAATTTATCAGAGATGTTAATATGGAATGGGAAAAGATTCCCAGCAAGTTTATACATTTTAGAATTTTAAGAAGCAACTTCTCTGTGTACTCAAGGGTGTGTAGGGTGAATGGATTTTGATTTTCTCTTACACTATGTAGTGCACTGACTGCACATTAGAATCACCTGTTGGGTTTTAAAAATACCACTACCCAGGCTACACCCCACACCAGCTACATCCAAATCTGTGAGGGTGAGACCCAGGCATCAGGATTTTTTTGAACTCCCCAGGTATTTTTTCAGTGTGCAACCAAAACTGAAACCACCATTTAAACAGTTTTTCTAAAAGCAAAAACAAGAATGACTGGCATGTCTGTTTTCCCCTTTCTTCTGTCTATTCCTCTCCTTAGGTCATACTGATGATGGGGTTTTTTTGTTTTTAGCACCTTGGGTGTACATAAGCTCTTAATTGCAATTGTAATAGGCCTCTCTCCATTTTAGCTCATTGTTTCCGGCATGCAGATTGTATGACTTAGTGAATAGTGACCGTGTCTAGCAGGAGCAAAGCTCCTGTACTGCTTGCTTTATTTTGTTGGTAAAATATTAAGGTTTTGCTAATTATTTTGTAATACATTATCTTTAGAAATGCTGTTTCAGTGACAACTTTCTTCCCAACTGTCCTGTATTAGTAATGTCCTGTCAGAGAAAGTATAGGAGAAGCAGGCATCCTAAAGGGTATTTCTAATCCTGACCCTGCAATGGAGATCCTTGGCCAGCTCTCTGTCACCTCCTTACTTGAGCAGAGTGTACCTCACTGCATCTCCGTTCTTTCTGGGCAGTCTTTGCTACTGTAAACATCCTTGACTGGAAGCTGTAAGGTGTTCAGAGGAGCTTTCAGTCGGATGTTTACAGCGGCAGGCTGCCACGGTCGTCCCTGTCTGCGCATCGGCTTTGATACGTTTCAGGTTTGTGCCACAGGCTTGATTCCTCTTCTTGGGGCTTCCCTCCTCTCTGAGAAGTCACTACAAGCGCTCAGACCACTTATCTTCCTTCAAAACAAATGATACCACACACCCACTCTCCTTAATTAAATTGTTTGTTCCCTATGTCTGTCCGAAGTGGCCTTTATAACAGCAAGATGGTGAGCGCTATAACAATTAGGTCTTGGACACTCTCCAAGTGCAAACTCCTGCTAGTTCTCTGTGGGCTGCCTGCTGAGTAAACAGCCTGGAAAGAAGGGTCATGTCTTGTCCTATTCCATCTTCCGAAATCCTCCCTGCTTCAGGCACTCTCAGGGTGTTGGACAGCCCCATGTCACATCCTAGCAGGATTCAAAATGCTATGATCCATCTCCTTTTAAAGTGTGTCTAGCTGAAGCAGCTCCTTGCTGCCTGGGTTCAGTTCTTTGTAGGTGTTCAAGTCATTGATTGGTGTCCTATTTGGGACAGCTGCTGCCTGGCCTTTGAAAGGTTGAGATTGCTGAAAGCTGGTCTGAAATTCCAAGATAGCACTTTTAATCCTCTGTAGACATGAAGTTTTCCCCTGTTCCAAATTGGCTGGCACCTCCTGAAGTCCTTTAAAAGCGCCTACTCTCCAAAATGCACCCTTTCTTGAGAAGGCAGCAATTCAGTCTTGCTACCGCAGCGAATGTACTTTTTACCTCCAGTGTGGAGCTGGCTTTACAACACTGATATTGGCCCAGGATGTGGTGCTTGTCTTTCTCTAGTATGGTTTGTCAGCCTCTGCTTCTGAAAAGTCCTCTGGGTGGGGAGGCCACTGCTCAAGCTTGGCAGGTGTCCCATTCTGGATTGATCTAGTCATTCTGGGATTGTTCTAGCGCTTGGGATGAGGTCTCACGAGGAATGCTAGGGAAAGGAACTAGTCAGAAATATTGAGATATGGGGGTCTAAGGCCCTTGATATCTCAGAGTGTACATGGGATTGTCTCTTTTTCTTCAGGGAAGCAAGTAAAGACTGAAAATAGGTCACTGAAGCCTGACTTCTGCCCCACTAAAGCTATGAGTTGAAAGTTCCTGCCCATTGAAATATCATTGTCTCTTCACCCATTTCTTGAAACCAAGCATAATCATTCCCTTGCTAGCTTTATCTCCATTGGCAGAACGAGACTTCATAATACAGAAGAACTTAAGATGCACATATTCTAGTCGAGTGATTTGAGAGCAGTCATGCCTTGTCTGAACATTGCAGACCTTTCCTTGATACTCATGCAGTGTCCTGTGCTTCAGCCCTAAGACACTGCCTAGTTCATAAACAACCTAAGAGGTGTATAGTAGAGAGCATAGGAGAGGCTCTTTACTGGCTCTTAACAGCTTTTGGCAATAGCTTCTGGAAGGGGTATTTAAAGGGCTTGGTTTTTGAATAGCAAAATGTGACCATATTCATGTCCAGATCATCTGGAGTCAGAGATAATTGGGGACAGAAAATAACAGGTTAGTGTCACCTTGTTCCCTGACTTCCTACAAGTTGACTCTTGGGCTCTCAGTCTGCTCGACCTGCTTATCAGCCAAGAGCTTTTATATATGAGTTAGGTCTATGCCTTAGTGATTGATGTTTTTTATAAAACAGGAGGGGAAATCTCAGTGGGAAAATAAATACTTTGAATGTTATTTCAACAGTTTTGAAAAGAGCACTCAGTCTCAGCACCTTAGTAAAGGAAGATATCAGTATTTTGTCCCTGCCTTATCCAAGAGTTGACAGGCTGGTCTTTACTTAAAGTGATAAGAAGGAGTAGATGTTGTCACTGTTGTTGCTCTGGAAAGCAAGACCTATAAGAAAATTAGGGGAACTGCCTTTTTTCTCTGCCTCAGCATAATCATGTTCAGAGTTTGGGTCTGAAGCACTAGGATACATTAACCTAGAAAGTTGGTTCGTGTATGAGTACTCGCTTAGAAAACCGTAATGCCAGGGCAGAATGAATAACCATCAGGGAACCTGTCACGTAGAGACTGGTATCTTTGGGTCCCCGGTCACAGGGCAAAGCAAAAGAATGTCTAGCCCTATACCGCCGGAAACCTCAGCTTCCCCATATGCTATGATTTCAGAATCCTAGAGGTAGCAAAAGGGTTTAGGGACTCTACACTGTTGGTAACAACTTTTAAGTTTAAGAAAATTTGTTATACTACTCACTTGGGTTCAAAAAGTACTTTTATGCCTCCAATAGTCTGGCATCCTGTAGAAATCCATGTATTACTCACTAGACACTTCATGAGTACTGATGGGGGGGAATGGTAGGGACAATTTGGTGGTGGTGGTGTGTGTGTGTGTAGGGGGGGTGGGGGGAGGTGAATAACTAGGCTTTGCCTTTGTAGGACTTACATTCTAACAGGGAAGGCAAGGATCAAGTACAAAAAAAGAATAATGGAGTACATATAGGTACTGTGGAGGCACAGATGGGGGTGCCTAACATCAGGAGGGGTTGGCATTTTACCAACTTTGTAAGTGTCTCTTTAAGGCATCCCACTGGGTCTTTGTACCTTGAAGTGCCATGCTTTCTTTTTTGGAATCACTGCCCTCCCTGGCAAAGGAAGTGAGTAAATTTAGCTAATATTTTGACTCAGCCAGCCTAAGTGGTTGTATGTTTGTGTTGTTTTTGTTACCCCAGGAAGAGGCACCATGTGTCACAGGTCACTCCGGAGCAGATGCCAATCTTTGTGTCGATGGGCAGGAGCTGACCAGCCCTGCCTCTCTTGGTTGTAACCATGCTGTAGTGTGTGTAAACATCCTACACTCTCAGCTGTGAGCTCAAGGTGGCTGGGAGAGGGGTGTTTACTCCTTCTACCATGGAAAACGTCAGCTGAAGAAGGAACAGTCTCTTCACCCACAGATCGGACAGTGTGTGACCTCCCTAGTCAGCCAAGGCAGCACCCCAAAGGAGAGTTGTCCATCAGGCCCCTGGGTTTCACTTCCCAAAACCATATGTCATGCTGAGTAGACACGTCTCTCAGTGACCACAGAGCTTTCGACATACTGGGAAAAGCTGGGCACATGGCTACCAATGCTCTTTTTTTCTTTTTTGTAAGTTTTTACTGTGAACTGAGTGATCGTTTACATGGGAGAATATCAGCTTTATACCATTGTTTCATTGCAGTGATAACAATCTCCTCTGTGCGTCTTCATTCAACAGTATTTGTTTCCATTCCCTATTTTGTTTGTTTTTCTGGTGGTGGTTTTTTGTTTTTTGGTAGAGGGGATGTGCTCAGAAACACTCAGGAATATATAATAATTTAAACAACCAAAGGGCACATTCTGCAAGCCTGCTTTCTAGCTTCCAGCACCTAGTACCTCTCTTTCCATGAGTCCAGAGTCTCAACTCTGCCTCCATCTCTGTCTACCAGTGCTTTTGATCCTAACATTTGATTCTGAAATTCCAATCCAGGAAAACTCCTATCTCTCTTTCCCCTTCTCTGTCCTTCCTGAGGTGGAGGGGAAAAAAAAATAGGGTCATTACCTGTTTGGGAGCAGGCCTGAGAGTTGGGGCACTTGAGTAGTATCTTCCCAGCGCATGCAATTAACACTGTTCTCAGATCACAGGTCTTGACAGCATTTACTGACAAGCACTGCTGGTGTGTGGTTTTTAGTTACGGTAATTGTTTGCTCGTTTGCAGCTCATCAGGCAATGGGTGATTACTCTGTACTTCAGAAAATTGGCTGTATGTTTTGTGAAGCCTATGGAATCTGTTATTTTTAGTTTGATTTAGCACAACTGGTCTCTTCAAATTCCACTTTCTCTTGGCTTCAAATGTGGAGAGCTCAGCATTGAGCAGGCTGTTGCCCAAAGCCTGTTTAGGGGAAAGAGTGGAAATTCACTGTGGTGATTGCTGAGTCGGTTCTTTCCCTCTTACCTGCCTCTCCTTCTACCCCACAGGAGGAGGTACGCCAGTCTGTGACTCCTGCTGAGCCTGTCCAGTATTACTTCACGCTGGCTCAGCAGCCCACTGCCGTTCAAGTCCAGGGACAACAGCAAGGCCAGCAGACCACCAGCTCCACAACCACCATTCAACCTGGGCAGATCATCATCGCGCAGCCTCAACAGGGCCAGGTCTGTGAGCTGTTGAGGATGCTCACCCAGCATCCTCCAGTGTGGAACACTGGACTAGGGCAGAGAGGCAGCTTAGTCATTGTAGAACCCTGGATTTGGAGCCTGCAAACCTGGACTGCTTCTTAGGTTCAGCCACTGAGATGGAGTGTCACCCTCATCTCTCCAGGCTTTAGTTTCCTCATGTGTCAAGTGAGGAAAGTATTGCTCCAGGATCCCTATAAGTTCAGCCTTTTTTGAAGGGAAAAAAATCTAGAATGCCCCTAAGCAGAGAACTGTGATTCCTGTAGAAGGCATTAAAAATGGATTCTGTGCCTGCTGTCTTTGTGTCTATCCCAGAATTGAAACATGTGCCCTTAAAAGGGTGGTCAGGCCTTATTGCCAACTTGCTTTACTCTCCTTCCTGCTCCCTCATATCTCTCTTTCCCATAGTTCTATTGAGTGAGCTGCTCTTTTTAACAGTAGTAGTCAGAGGGGTTTCCTCTCCCTATTGCTATGGTTGTGAGAACAGTGCCATCCATGACTGTCAGCGGTTTGTGAGAGGCTTTAGAGAACCCTGAGTTTTGAAGGCAAATCCTGCTAATCATTTATTTATCATACAAATGTTGAACATATTCTCTGGGTAAAGTTCTAAGCATGAATGAACCAGTCCATGTTTTCAAGGAACTCACAATCTAGTGGTGGGGAGGCATACTTAAGGATTATACCATCATGTAAAATGTGTCAGAATTCTGCACAGGGCATTAAGGAGCACATCAAAGGGGCACTTAACAAAGACAGGATGGACGTGATGGATGAGGATGTCAGGGAAGGTTCCTGAAGGAATAATGAGTCTGAGAGGAGGGAGGTATCTCAGTAGGAGAGACAGTACAGTTACTGACTTGGAGGGAGTGGTGGGAAAGTATAGTCAGCATAGGGGGACAGCTGGGCAAGGCTGAAAAGGGAGGTAGGACACTATCCTGGGAAGTCTCATGTATACTGTTCTGCTCGTTTATCCATATGCTAAAATTTTACTGAATGCTTGCTATTTGCCAAATACTGGACCTAGGCAGTGATGCCTCTAGGGGATCTTCTTTGGCTAGTGTATTCTACTTTGCAGTGGTGGGAGCTTTACCTGCCAAAAGCTTTATCCCTTTACAGTGCAAGTTTCAAGGAAGTCTGCCAAGGCTGCCTCTGATTGGCTGATTATGGTCGCTGTGCCCAGACAGCAGGGCATACCATAACATGATTTGACAGCTGCCATGCTAACACAAGCCCTCCTTTTCTTGAAATGATGTAGAAATACCTTGGAAATCCTCTTGGGAAAATTGATTTGATATAGTACAGTGATGAGTTGGCAGCATGGTTTTTATTTTAAAGTTGGTGAGAACTCCATCTTTCTTATTCTTTGCCACCCAGACCTGCTCAGCTTAGAGCTAATGAGGTTTGTTAGGATGGTGAAGTTGGCCCTCTCAACATCTTCCAGCTGTTGTTTGGCTGTCCTGCTGCTTCAGGATGGCCTTGTGCCATGTCATGCCCCCCCTTGTTGTTACATGCCGTCAAGTCGGTTCTGACCCATAACGACCCTATATAGGGTTTTTGAGGAGCAGCTGGTAAGGTTGAACTGCTGACCTTGCAATTCAAATGGCTTTGCAGTCTGACACATTAATCCACAGTGCCACACCAGGATTCCAGACCTGTACTAATGGATATTTCAAGTTAAGTCCAAATATCCTTTGCAGGACAGAGTACATACTGAAACAAAGTTACTAAGAAAGCACATTTTAAAAGTGAATTCTGTATTTTTTGCCATAAAATTAGAAACTCTTACTCCTAGAAGTTTGGTGGATAAATTAAGTTGAAAATCATGGTATGAGAATGCAAGAGCTATTTCTTACTGTCTTACCCCACTGCGAGGACTTTTACTTATATCTTTCTGTTGTCTGTATTCCCCACCCTCCTCCAGTTTGTAGTCATTTCTCTTTACCTAGTAATCCCTTGAGTCCTTACCAGCAGTCCCAGAACATAATCCCTTCTCTCATAATTTTAGATGCATAGTTTCAATGTCCAGTAGATCTCTGCAGCCACAATATAAGAACGTCAGAATAGCAACATGGATTGAAGTCTGCAGTCCATTGGGACTTACAGAGTCCTCCTATTGAGGTGATTCCTAATTTGGAGTAGGGCAAGATCCCGTCTCTTATCGGAGGATTGAGCATGCAGGTGCAGTTCTAAGCAGCCCCTTCCTTGTAGCTACCACCAGGGCATCAGGCCAGCCTCACTGCTTGAGGTAGTCTGTAAAGGTCACATTTAGAGCTGAAGTTTGGAGATTTGAAGAAATGGAGCAAGTTTCATAGAGTTGCAGTCTACTGATCTGTGAACACAAATCTGCCAAGTCTTATCTATTAGTCTGAAATTCCTTAAAGCCAAGATTCTGGTTTTTAGAGAGGTAAAGATCTTACTTTATTAAATTCTATTAAACAGCTGCACTTAGGAGTCCGCACAATTCCATGTCCTAGCAGAATTCGTCTCTCCTGTAGGAAGCTGCTGTGGACAGTCGCTCTGCCGTTTGAATAGGGGTGAAAGCCAGTTTGGGTGCACTGAGCTAACTTCAGGAAAGTACCAGTGGTTTATTTTCCTTTCAGTGTCTTGGCATGCTAAAGGAAGAAGCCTAGGACTCTCACAGTAATAAATTCACATTGACTCCACTTTCCATTTAGTTTTGCCTCCCAGACTCACTTTTTTTAGACTGGATTTTAACCAGTTCTCAAGCCAATTAACATGGCTGCTTTTGAATTTTTTTTTTTTTTTTTTAAGTGCATAAGCCTTACTATTATTAAAAAGGGGTTGAGAAAAGTTGCAACATTTTAAGGTATACGTATTTTATGTTTGAGGCCTAAGCAAATATTTTGTACTATAAGCCTGAAAAACTGTTTGGCTTTCCCACCTTTATTTCAAAGAACAATGCTAGCTATGCTCTAATGTTGAGATTTCCTCCCAGTTAGCTGTTCATGATTAATCCTTTAATAATTTTACTGACCCTGAGGCTCAGTCTGTCTTCTCGTGACTCTCCCTTCCAGACCACACCCGTGACAATGCAGGTTGGAGAAGGTCAGCAGGTGCAGATTGTCCAGGCGCAACCACAGGGTCAAACCCAGCAGGCCCAGAGTGGCACTGGGCAGACCATGCAAGTAATGCAACAGATCATCACGAACACAGGAGAGATCCAGCAGATCCCGGTAAGCCTGCAAAAGCACCATTCTCAACTCTGTCACAGAAAATACTGAAAGATGCTGTGTTACATAGCTTTTTTGTCTCCTTCACTCCATGTCACTGTTCCATTAATCCAGGTTCACCACTATGGGGCGCTACTCTCCATTTCCCCTCACTTCACATACTCACAGCAGCTATGTAACTAACAAGTTCATGTCAAGGCCCAAAGGTCATGTGAGGCAGTCCTGTCTTTTGATTAGCGGAGAGTAAGAGGGAGGTGTGTATGGAAGGCCATAAATACACTTGTTGCATATTCATGAGTCAGTTCCCAGTGGAGCCTGCAGTAAAGTGTATTTTTGGCTTTCATTTAACTTATCTATTCCTTCACTCTGGACTGCTGCTTCCTGTATGCCTGAAGGGATTTCATTTCTTAGATTTGTTGGCTTTTTTACTTGTGCTTGTAATTTTGTAAAAATAACCTTGTTTTAACACTTGCAGTTTGTACATTGGTCACTTTGCTACCAAAAACTGAGAAGTGCGTGACATGACAGTCCTTTGTTCCCACCCTGCCCCTCTTCCTGTTGTCGATGAAATGTAGAGAGGTCTAGAAACTCACTTGGACTTGATTTACCACTTTCTGTTTGAAGAAAGCTGGAAAAGCACCCTCAGCCCTGTTGTAGAAGCTGCTCTGCTGATTAGCGTAGTGGTTACGAATTGGGCTGCTAACCTCAAGGTCAGCAGTTCGAAACTACCAGCTGTTCCACGGGAGAAAGATGAGGCTTTCTGCTCCTGTAAAGATTTGCAGCCATGGTGGAAACCCTGTGCAGGGTCACTATGAGTCAGACCCAACTCCATGGTACTTAACAGCAACAACTTTTTATTGTTAGCACATAGTAGTCTGAGAGCAGGTATACACTCATTTTGTCTCCCTCTCTCTATGGTTACTTCATTATTTCATCCAACAAACCCAAGATCTCTCTTTTGAGTGGTTTTTATTTTTGCATATGAAGGCACCCAGATGATTTGTGCCAGAAAAGAATTTCAGTGATGGCAGTGACTTTAGCTCAAGTTTTTAACCCCTGGTGCACAGGTCTTTGGTCCATCAACTGTGTTGTAGAATTCATGACTTGTCTTTACTGGTCTCAGACACCTTCTTCAGGAGTCTACATTTCTGGGCTCTTCAGGCAGCTTCTCAGAGTGTTGCTCATGATGGTGATAATCTTCAGGAAGGAAACATGGTTTCTGTTTAGAAAACAGTAGTGGTGTGCTTGTTTACTCTAATTAACATAAAAGTGCTGTGAAACTCCCCAGACCTGTTGTCCCAGGAGAGAATTAAGGAACAGACAATCTTAAGCTAAACCTGAAATAAAAGATCCTGGCTTCTAAGAATGACTAGGAATCATTGGACTCACAGTTTTTCCATCACATAAGGGTTTCGGCAAAGAACTTCTCTTTCCAACTAGAAAATTTTAAATCCCTGTGGTTCCCAGTATACCTGTCTTCACTCTTGAGATGAGTCTTTGATCCTGTGATCCTTAGCTGGAGTTCGGTGACTGCTGGGACCAGCCACTATCACTTAAGGCAGATGAGATTTCCCAGCCTTTTGCCTAGCTACCTTCATTCCCACCAGAAACTTAATGTTGCCTGGAATTTAGATGGGAAATTTAGACTTGGCACCACAACCTCCCAGCAGTTCCTCTTGTTGTATCCTCAGGAAAGAAATGACTACAGCTCACAGTACTCTTGCCCTGTTTCCTTTAAACCGGGTTTTTAACAAGTTTAGATTTTGTTCTTCCGTTCCCTCCCAAAACTTGATGCAGATTGGCAATTCTGAAATGGTATGTCTTTTGGAGATTCAAATCTTCGTTGAAGTTGTGTATTTCAGAGAGGCAGTTTGCTTTAGCATACAGGAGTGCAGCTTCACTCCATCAGCATTTTCCTCTGGAAAGTAAAGCGTACTGCAGTAAGGTTTGTTCTTGAATACAAGGGGAAAATTTGCTCCAAGACAAAGAGGCAGGACCCTTGAGTGTCAGCCTCATCAATCTCAGGAACCTCCCTCATAACAAAGGCAGGGGTGGGCAGGCACTTAGACTTCTGGAACCTCTTCATGCCCTAGTCCTAAGTCTGGGTGTCTGCACCCCTCCTCAGCTGGCCACAGTTCTCTGACATTGTAACGGCCTGGGCCTCTCTTTATCCCCAGGCTAGGAACACTGGTAGTTTCATGGTACACTGAAGAGTTAAGAGCCTGAGTTAAAGGCTTTTAGCACACAATTAAATGCAGCTTGTGATATTATTGTATTATCTGAGACTTAATCGTAAGCTTGAGGGACTCTAAGGGCATTTGTGTTTCTTTGGTTTCCCATGATGGGGGTTTCTGTGAAAGGCTTATTGATTTGGCTTCCCCTTGGGACGTGTTTGGCCAGAAGCTAATGCTGAACACCAAGGATCCTGAAAGTCCCGCAGACCCCAGTTGGTTCTGTTCCCCAGGACAGTGATAGTAAAACAGAGCATCCCTTTTTCTTCAGTACACAGCATGGGGTTGGGCAGTAGTAGGGTGATACGGGTGATGGTTGACTTTTTTGGCCTCTTGCTGGACACTGGAGGTCTTCACAGAATCGGATCAGTTAGCCCCAGACACAGGACGGAGAAGTACCCAGATAGAGGGGAAAGAAGCCCACACTTCAAGGTGCAGGTATTCTGAGAATGTCTAAGACAAGTTGTGATACAACAGCAAAGAGTCAGCAAATGATGAAAGCATCCTTGCAGTTCTCATGCAGGAAACAGAATCCTCTCAGAATTTGTTTCCAGGTCCAATCAGGGTTGGGTGGGATGTTGTGATTTTGCTTGTTTTGACCTCTGTTAAAGAGGAGTTTTTTGTTTTTCCCAGGTGAGCTGCTTTGGAGGGATTGGGTGTGGTGATGGGTAACCAGCATTTCTGCCTATGGAAACTTGGCCTGTTTGAAGTTGCATTCAGTCTCTTGTCTGTTTGTCTCTGCCCTGTGTCCCCAGGTACAGCTGAATGCTGGCCAGCTGCAGTATATTCGCTTAGCCCAGCCTGTATCAGGCACCCAAGTTGTACAGGGACAGATCCAGACACTTGCCACCAATGCCCAACAGGTATGTGTCCCAAAGATGCAGAGCTTGAGTTGGAGACCAGCAAGAGCTGAGCTGATTTCTGTCTGGAAAGAGGTCCTCAGCGTATAACTGTCTCACCACTTCCTCTGTTTGCAAGGACCACCTTCACATCTGCTCGGCACCTTATGGGACGGGGTAACAAGAGGATTTCGTTTCAAAATGCTTCTCTTTTCATCCTGTTCTCTAGGGCTAAAGGCAGGGGAAACCTTGAGGATGTGTGAAGAACGCCTGTTGTATGGATGTGCCTGTTTGACTATGGGAAGCATTTGGACAGGTTCCCTAGTGAACAGGCTACGTTTCCATCTTTAAACTTGAATAGCTGTTGTGTCCTGGTACCTTCTGTGCCCTTTGAAAAGCTTAGATTTTATCCCCTTCCTTGTCACACATCCGTGATCAGAGTTATTTGCCCTCTTATCTCTCATTCCTTAAAATATTCAAGGCCATGAGTCACAGATACTAAGGACTACCTCCTTGGGTTTGAGGGGCAGGGGGTATGAGCATGATTTGCAGTGGGTAGGGATGCTGGTCAAGGGGAGGCATTGTTAATGGATTCTTTTGCCTCAGACCCAAAAAAAGCAGCAATCGTTTAAGAGCTGGACCTGTCTGGCCCAGTTGCATTTCTGGTGATGTATCTATTGACAGTGGTGACAGAGCTGAGTTTGTAGAGCAGGTCTCCAAAGATCTCATTTGGAGGAATGAGCCAAAAGCAAGGCTTCTAAGTTTCATATAGTCTCTGGGATCTTTAAAAGGCTGTTCTAAACCAGTTTTCCCTGGCTTGCCTGAGGACTTGGACTTTTCCATAATTTCCTTGGGGCTTTCCAACACTGCTTCAGATCACAAAGACTGGGCACACTCTTGGGTACTAAACCCACCCCACTCCCCCACCCCCTTTTTTTTAAATCAAACTTTTAAGATTCTTCCCTGGGATCTAAAAACCTTTTATGATATGGGTGTGGGACAGAATGAGAAGGGAAGTGTTATCCAGAGGTCAGTTTGGGGAGCCAAAAATACAACCAGAAAGTGGGGAGAGTTGGATGTACAGAGAGGAGAGGAGCAAGAGAGAGGCACCTGAGGACAGTCAAAGTCTCTGTAAGAACAGGTTATAATCATGACAGCATGGCATATACTAAGGGTTCAACAAATGTTTGCTGAATTTATTTTGAAAAAGAATCATCTGTTAACAGATTTTAAAGGTAAATGAAACTCTTCTCAGCTGATATTAGTGGCAATCCTGAGGGCCATAAGGCAGTTAACCTGACTATCTTTGGAGGCTATTTTCAATTCATCTGAGGTTCGTTCCTTTATTTGGCAGACAGTTTTTGAATGCTTGCTTTTTCACTGGCAGTATAAGACAAAGCTTCACTCCTGCCTTGGCGTCTTGTACACTAGTGGAAAGAAAAAACGGAAATACGGAATAATAATAATAGTTTCATAGTAATCCTTTCATCCTTTTCCCCTTAGACTCATGGGTAGGCCTGACAGGATGTTTTTGACCATAGTGAGGACACCTGAGAGGACAGTCCTTACCTGGCAGGTTGGCTCTGATGATGCAGGACATGGCACACAGAAGACACTGCTAGCCAAATGTTCCGTAGACACGTACACACTCACACATACTGCAGTTGTCTACCAAGCCTCACTTCTACATGTCAGGAAATTTATTTGAAAATTCATTTAAATGAATTCTCATACAAGATTTTAAATATATGTGATGAAAGTCCTGCCCTCTCCCTTGTTCAGGGACTGTCTCCTCCTCCCTCTCTTGGCCCAGTGGGTGGCACGATGTTTCTCAGGAAATAAAAATACTTCATAGATTTGCTACCAGGGCAAGGCCACCTGCTTGCCAGGGTGTTACATATTCCAGTCAGATAATCTGGGTGATAGGGGTTTGGTTTGGAGCCCACCTTCCAAGAATGAAAGGGACTACTCACCATTTTGCCCAGTATTTTTTAATCTGGCTTCACTGACAGAAAGGCAGGCCTTTAGGGGTCCTGCCTAAACCATAGCAGGTGAGCACCTAGCAGCTCGATTTTCCATTTGACTTGAGCCTCCAGCCTCAGGAAGATCTTGGGGGTGTGGGTAGAAGGGTCTAGGAATAGGCAGACATTAAGAGTTGGGTGTGGAAGTTGTGTATTCGAGTCCTCCAAGGTCTCTGTGTGCCTCTGTATTGCCAACTCTGTAGGGAGCCCTCAGTGCTTGGTACTGGGAGAGGGCTTCTTTTTTCTGCTACTCACCAAGCACATGATGTGTGCCAGGCCTCCCTCTGGGCACTGGATGTACTTTATGACACTCTCGGCAGTGGGCTGATGGGTGAGCTGAACATGCCTACTCTATCATCTTGATTTCTACAGATCACGCAGACAGAGGTCCAACAAGGACAGCAACAGTTCAGCCAGTTCACAGATGGACAGGTAGGGCATCCAGCCCCGGGCAGGGTCAAGGGAGTGGTGTTGTGGGTGGGGTATCTGGACTTGGATGATTAGGACAACTGCTCAGTTCTTTAATAGTAATGAACCCCCATAGAAATTGTTAAAAATAAGTAGTCTTTGTATCATAGATTTATAGTCTTGTGGGAGCTAAAAATAATCTTCAACATTGTATAGCTCAAATTCCCATTTTGCAGATGAGTAAACAAAGCCCCACAGATGGGTATACCTTGTCAGACTTGCTCATCTGTTCATTATAGAGCTAGGACTAGAATGACAGTCTCCTATTTCCATCTTGATAGCTATTTTTTCCTCTTAAACTGTGCTGCCGCTTAATAGCATGGATTAGCAGAAATGCACGGCATATGTGACCTCTGAACTCCCTCAGTGCTCAGAATTCGGTCTTTCTAAACGCTCTCAAAGAAGGAGTCTCCCTGTCCCTTCCCCCTTTCTCCTCACCCTAAGGCTCCAGAGACCCTGGGGACACAACAGGATGATATAGACAAGCTGATGTTTTCTGCTGCCTGGAGGGGAGAGGAGCCAGCAAGAGGACCTGCCTCAGGGGTCTGTCAGCATCAGGCGCCAGGCTCATGTGCTAGGGCTCCTGTAGGCTCTTGGTTTCTTTTGGAGGCACCTGAGAAACCAAGTGACTCGTTGGCCTAGTTTTCCTAAGTGGTCGTATTAGCATCTTCTCCAGTCCTCATGGGTCTTGGCTGTAGTGTTTAGTCCTGTCTATCCACCCTTTCAACAAGGCCCAGGTTGGAAATGCAGCGTCAGTTTAGCTTTAGCCTGAACCATATATTTGGAGGAGAGGAGAGGAACAGTGAGTAATCTTACTGCCCCTGCCAATGAAGATTAACAAGAGTTGGGGAAATGCTGATTTCCAAGCTGCTGGTACAGTCGCTTGAATTGCTTGTGTTTGTCACAGAAGAACAGCGTGCAGTAAGCTCCCGCCTCTGAGCTAACAGGAGAGGCAGAGCCCAGAGAAGTGAAAGCGACAGGAAATTCAACTCACTGCACCTTTTCCCTGCCCACCACACACACACACCCTCACACTGGGCTGGCGCCTCCTATGTCTGCTGTGCCCAACCCCAGCAGAGCTCCACACCCTCTCCTCCCTCTGATGCCTTGCAGTGGGTGGTGGTTGAAGTATCTGGTACCCCAAACCAACTCGAGGCCCATAGGGAGCTGCATGCCGCTCTTCCAGGGGTGACCTCACTTTCTCCTTTCCACCCCTCGCAGCAGCTCTACCAGATCCAGCAAGTCACCATGCCTGCAGGCCAGGACCTTGCCCAGCCCATGTTCATCCAGTCAGCTAACCAGCCAGCCGATGGGCAGGCCCCCCAGGTGACCGGCGACTGAAGGCCTGACTGGGAAGGCCAAGGACACCCAACACAATTTTTGCCATACAACCCCAGGCGATGGGCACAGCCTCCCTCCCCAGAGGACCCGGGCCGACCTCAGCGCCTCCTGCAGGCTAGGACACTGGTGCACTTGCCCCATGCCTGGGGGCTGAGATTCTCCAACAGAAAGATGCAATATTTTTTATTTCCTTTTTCCCATTCTCTTCCTCCCCCCACCCCCACCCCAAGGAATCAATATTTCAGTTTGTTGAGCTGTGTGTCCAATGCTATGAAATGAACATATTAAATAACATATTTATGGCATTTTCTTGAAGAGTGGTTGAGGAAATGTTTCTTCTTTTCGTTTTGTTTTTGGTTCTCACCGCTACTTCCTTTTAGGAGCAAATCTCCCCAGAGCTATGTGTTGCCATCTCCTGACTCTGGGAACAGCTGCTGCCCCCAGGATTCGCTACCTTGCTCTGCCCTCAGATTAAATTAGGTGTATGTGTGTACCTGCTTTTTGACTCATGGCCCTCTCTGCACCCCTGCTCTCACCCCAGGACTCTGTATATTTGCATCCAGAGGCCATGGAAACATTCCTTAAACTTAAAAGATGAACTCATTCCCCATGGGGAGTGAATGGTTTCATTCCCAAACCCTTTCTCTCCCAGGGACCCAAGGAGACTAGAACTTTGAGCATTTGCCCATTTCTTCCTCTCCCACCCGGTTTTTATTTTTTCAATGCATTATAAATTGTGCTAGTCTCCTTTGCTGCATGGACTTCAAACTGCATGAAATGCAATAAACCTCATTTTAGATAATTTATAGTCTGGGTTTCTGTGTCTGGGAGCATTCATGGGGTCACTCTGCTTGGGAATGGCTTAGATGATTTGCTTGCCCTCTGGATGAGTGGTTAGAAAGGAGGGGGGCTGTCCAACACTGAGGGTATACTTAAGCTGCATATCTGATTCAAACTGAGATGTTCAGCTGATTGTAAAAGTGATCCACATCAAAATCCACTTAAGGTACCTTCTTGCCTTTTTTCTGGATGACACACATGTGCCAGACTGAGCTGTGCCCTGTTTTGATTGACGGTTGAGAGGACATCTCACATGGAGAAAACTGGCTCCGACCTACAAATTAGGACCTAGATAGCCACCTCCTCCCTCTCCTGCCTGGCACAGACTAGTACTCAGCTGCCTGCTGTGGCCATTCTCACTGTTATGGCCTGTGCCCTGGAGGGCAGCCTACGTCCGTGTCAGGCGGCAGATCACAAGGATTCTGTAGCCAGTGTCTGCCGGTGGGTAACTGCAGCATGTAGAAGCCAGGAATGAACCATTTTTCTTCCCTCCACTATGCCATCCTTACAATTAGAATAAACGCCCCCAAAACAATGCTGATGGAGTCAATTCCAACGCAGCAAACCCCATAGGTGCTACTGCCCCCATAGTGTTTCCTAAGTTAGAATAAATGTTTTGCAGAAGCAAAACTGGCAACGTCTTTCTGTGAAGTAGCTGGTGGGTTCAAACTGCTGTGCTTTCAGCTAGCTGTCCAGTGCTTAGCTGCTGCACCACCAGGGCTTACATTAGGATAAGGCCTGTTACCACAGAAAGAGCAATGAACTTGCTGGGCCCAGATGCCAAAGATACATTCATTCTCTGATAGAAATACATTATAGAACTAGGATGGGGCTGGAGTGGGGAAGAGGCTTATAGTACATGATTTCTTGTCTGGTCCTGATACTCTTAAAATTACCAGATTCTCCGTCACTGTAAGCCATGGTGGTGGGAGGGCATAAATTAGTTTTCAAGAAATACTTAATAAAGGTCAGAGAAGACTACTGCCCTCTTTTCTTCTGCCACTCCCAACTAGGAGATCCTCAGATCTCTTGGATCTGCTTGAGTATCTTGTCTAACTTCAGGTCTGGTCAGTTGTTCCCTTTCCTTTCCCAACTGGGGGTTGGGGTGTGAGTACCTGCTGACCATACCTCCTGGATGCTTTTAATACCTCTTATCAACTATTTCATTTTAATTCATTCAAAGTGTACTTGATTTCATTCCACAAGAAAAACTGAAGTAGTTCACAATGGAAACAGGCACAACAAAATGTTAAGTGCCATCGAGTTTATTCTCACGGTGACCCTATATAGGCTTTCTGAAGAGCAGCTGGTGGGTTTGAACCATTGACATTGTGGTTAGCAGTCCAGTGCTTATAACACCATACCAGGAGTCTAATAAAATACTGTTTTTAAGTACCAAGTCAGTTCCAACCCATAGTGACCCTGTATAGGGTTTCTGAGGAGCAACTGGTGAGCTTGAACAGCCAACCTTGCAGTTCAAATCCATTAACCCACAGCACCACACCACACTAGGACTTCGTTCGGCAGTACATACATTAAATGTGTAACTATACAGAGGGGAAAAAAAAAGAATTAGGAAAAATATAATGGAATAGGAAATCAGGATCATGGAAAACAACACAAATGTATTGGCTATAAAGACCTACATTGTTAGAATTATATTCGTCCTGAGCGTCCTGGCTGCCAAAGCAAAAAGAGACCAGAAAAGGAAGCAAAGTAGCATTCATTTGCAAAGACAAAGATTTTTTTTAATTTCGTTTTTAAGACTTGGGATGTATGGTGACCTTACAGTCTCATCCAGGTAGGTAAAGTTGACTCTTGTCGTGACATGTCTGTAGATGTCTGAGCAGCACACACATCCCTGTAGCAGTGAATCAAGGGCAGCTCCGCTCAAGCTTCAGCTGCTTCTGGTAAAAGCTCTCTTGCTGTTCTTTGACCCATTCCTGAAAGGCCGTGTTTGGAATTTCAAACCAGTCAATGACTCCCCGTTGTCCCCATAGAATACCATTCTTGGAAATGTTTCGATCAGTTGTGATTGGCAATTATCTGTCCTGCAGAGCACGTTCCCTTTAAATTGCCCCGCCAGCAAGCTGGCCCATCAGGCTGTAAACAAACACTTTTGTCTAGCTAGCCCTAGAGAGCCCCTATCTAATACCCAGCACGATCCCCTTACATCCGGAGCGCTCTTCAAACACTTTTTGTAGCACTTACAGCATCCGTCCTCCTGATGATCTTCACAGTGACCTTTCCAGAGACTGGGAGAGGATCGTCATCTCTGTGTTAGAAATGGAGTCAGGAGGCCCAGAGAAGTGCAATGACTTGCCCAAGGTCACTGTGTGAATTAGGGGTGTAGCTGAAACCAGAACATGCTTGACCCCCCTGGGCATGCACAACCTCCTGATAAGGAATTGGAGGTGGAGGCGGAGAACTTATTAGGTGTAAACGGTCTCTTTTTTTCTTTGCACACCTCAATGCCACTGGTTTAGCCCTGAACACATGAGAGTAGTTGGGAGTAACTTTCTTGAGTCTCCACGTGTGGGATGCTGGAGATGGAGGCCCGGGGGGGTGGGGGGTGGGTGCTTGGGGATTAGAAACCTACAAACCTACCATCTAGCTGGCCGCCTTGCCACTTAGTTCTGCCAACTGGCCACAAGGGGGCCATGCTGCATACAGCACCCGCTGGAGTCTGGGCGGTGCCCAGTCCCACCGTCATTCTAATTTGAGATTATTCTGTTATGGGATATGAATGGAGTCCTGGTGTGACACCGGAGGATGAACACTGATCTGCTAACTGAAAGGTTGATGGTTCAAACCCACCAGCCAACTCTCAGAAACCCTATACAGGCTCCCTATGAGTTGGAGCTGACTCGATGGCACTTAACAATAATGGGATATGAAGGCACTCTGGTGACACAGTGGGTAAGCAACTCACCTCCTAACCCCTATCAGCTGTTCGGCAGGAGAAATATATGGCAGCCAGCTTAGGTAAAGATTATTCTGCCCTATAGGGCCACTAAAGGAACCCTGGTAGCTTGGCTGCTAACCACAAGGTCAGTAGTTGAAATCTACCAATCAATGAGTAGGAGAAAGATGAGGCTTTTGACTCCTGTAAAGATTTATAGCCTTGGAAACCCTATATAGGGTCACTGTGAGTTGGAACTGACAGTACACAACGACATAGGGCCACTATGTGGAATTGATTCGATTGACAACCTACAATTACAATGGTTATTCTTAAGCAATACAGCTGTCCCCTTCCCAATGGGCACTAGATCTTAAACCCCCTTCCTGATAAGACCCTTTTCCTTCCTAAAGCAATATAGTGAGGGCTGGAAACACTACCCTCTCCAGAGTTTTGTATCAGGGTAAGTGTTGAGGTTTTTAATAAGGACTTTCTGGCAGCCCAAGTTCATTTAGGGCCTTCTGACCTCCCCAGCTTTATTTCCTTCCATTTTCTCTCTTCCCCACCCCCTGCATGGTATAATCCTGTCACAATTATTGGTCCCTTAACTCATGTTTTCTGAATGTGCTGGCCTCTCTGCCTGGAAGGAATGCCCTTACACTTTGTTTTCCACTTATTGGTCTCCTATATAGCCAGTCTCTGGAGAAGGATATTGTGTTTGGTAAGGTGGAGGGTCAGAGAAAAAGAGGAAGACCCCCAGCGAGATGGATTGGCCAAGTGGCAGCATCAGTAGGCTCAAGTGTGTCAACTGTTGTGAGGTTGACCCAGGACTGGGCAGTGTTTCATTCTGTTGTACGTAGGGTTGCTATGATTTGGTACTGACTTGATGGCACCTAACAACAATATAGCCATCAAGACCCAGTTTAAATGGCCCTCTCTGAGAAACTTCTAATTCCTCGAGCAGAGTCAGCAAAGACCTCTTTGTTGCACCTATAGCAACTTCTACAACCTGTTTCTATTTTTTTTAATGTGTTCCTTTTTTTTTTTAAGCTTTCATTGTATATTGAGTGAAGGCTTGCAGGACAGATCAATTTTACATTCAGCAGATCACTGTAATGATTACAATACCTTCCATGCACCCTTAGCCAACAGTATTTACCTCTGTTACCTTTTATTTTTTGATGTACACAACACTCCACATCATAAGTATATATTTGTTTAAATGTCCAAAGGGCACATTTTGTAAGCCAGCCTCCTGTCCGCAGGCACACTGCTTTTCTTAGTCCATGGGCTTAGAGACCACTGCTGCTCTGTCTCTGTATGCCATCACCTTGCCTCCGCCATCATCTCTATTGTCGCTGCTTTTCTGGTTAGGATCCCTCACTCCTCTCATGTTTCTCCATCTTGATGGTCCTAGTGTCCCATTCCTGAGACAGATAAACTGCTCCCCTTTTAGTTGCACCTTTTCTACATTTACAGTTGTGACCATCACCATTAAAGCTGAAAACAATTGCTCACAATTGTACCATAAAGTCTTATCCCCCTCATTACCAGACCCATCTGGACAGAAGATAAATTATTCAGTTGAGTTTCTGTCTTATTCCCTGCGTTCTGACACTAAACACCCTCATGAAAACTTGTAAGCCAGCCACTTCATGCCTTTATAGCCCCCAATTTTGGTAGCTGAAGTTTAACTTGCCCACTGTACTGAGGAGACATGCTTTATCCTTGATATGGAGAATCCCTCCCTATTTGATCAGAATTTTGAGCAGCCTCATCCATAACCAAGGGTCCAGTTGATCGGGTTGTACCAATTTACTCTTACTCCCTGTATCATACTTCTTTATCTTTACCTGGTCAAATTCTGGTCACCAAGGCATCCATGCTAGGCCCAATGGGTACAACCTGTATTGTTAGTGCATACATACACAGTCATTTAGCTAATATTTCTTTGACACTTCTATGGGCATTGCAAATACAGAAGGAAGCAAGCCAGATGAGGTCCCTGCTTTCATGGTGCTTACATCTGGAGGTGGGATAGGAGTGGAAATGGGGCAAAC